TTCGCCCTCACAGGACATCCCTGCTCTTCCACACTGTCCAGGGGGCGAGGGTAGCAGACTGGCGTAGGGCGGCGCACTGTCTGCTCTCTTGACTGCTGCGTCCATGAGCATGGAGTGTGCTTCACAGCAAAATGGGATCCAGGACAGTCCCGTCTTCCCTCGGCTCCTTCTGCGGTTTCCCGTGGGCCCACTGGTGAGGATTTCGGTTTGGTTTCCATTGCACTGCACTCCGTGCTGAAGGCTCGTGGGAGGCTTTCCTCGGGTGCTGCAAGCCCTCCTAGCTCTCGGCCAGCAAGGTGGCATCGCCTGCCCATCAAAGATTGTTCTTTGAACCAACTGTCAAGCAGTCGCTGTGGATAGGCATCGAGTAGATGGCAGGGAGCTTGACTTTGGCTTTGGTTTATCATGTAGCAAGTGTCACATTGCCTCCGAGGACCAGGTTTTCAATGCCTTGACATGATTGATTGACTGGGATACCTTGGCCATGCCGTGATTGCCGGGCCAAGGATGGGACGGTACGGAGCGTGCCTGGTGTGCCAGGCATGAAAGTAGCATGATCTGGTTTTGAGGGGTTGCAAGATCTGATGCCTGCTATGGAACGGATTCCTTCGTCCTTGGTATCCGCAAGGTTATGAGCAGCCTCTTGCCTGGTGCAGACACATCGGAATGTGATTCATCCTTTCCCTTTGAGCTGAGAGCAGCCCCCGGCGAAGGCAGGCACCCAGAGGCACGTGTAAGCATTGGGCTTGGGGCCACGGGCCACAGCTCCGTGGTTGCTTGCTCTCCAGTCACCCTCGAGATCAGGCCGCTACCCTCATACCTGTGTGAATCATTCTCCCTTCCCGCCCTCTTGGCAAGTCTACAGCAATTCATCTGGCTTATCACCAGGAAGTTCCGATGCTTCCTGGACAGAGCCGGCTGCTCTGAGACCCAGTCAGTGGCCTCTGAGGAGCCGGACCTCTGAGTGGTCCTTCAGAGACCCAGGCACACATTCCCATCATACCTGGACGGGAGTCCTCGCACGCACCTTCTTCCGACCCGAGGAAGTCTACATCAGGATTCAGTCCTGAGAATTGCTCCATGTTGATTCGTCATCTGAAGAGCCTACTGGGCTACCACGGAGTTGCTGACCTGAAGGCCGGCGGTTCGAACCCACCCGTCACTCTGGGAGAAAGGCGAGATCCCCTCAAGATGTCAAGTCTCAGAAAGCCCCCCTCCTCCCCTGGCGGTGGGGGGCAGTTCTACTCTGCCCCACAGGGAGGGCCACCATGAGTCGGCACTGACCGGAGGGCCACGAGGCGTTTTGGGGTTGCTGGCAAGCCCTCGCGAGAAGCGCTCTCCTGGACGCACATCGTGGGAACACGTTTCCATCGAGGCCGTTAAGATCGTTTATATGGTTTCTCTCCCACGGAGCCCAAGGTCCCTGGTAGCAGCCATCAAACGCCGACCTGATCCTCGTGAGTCTGCTTGTCGGACGCTTTCCTTTTTATGGGTGTCAGCAAGTTGGGAGCGAGTGGACGGCCCGAGGTGGAAGAAACCGAGGCAGGCATTTGTCCTGGGCTCTTGTCAGAGGCTCGCCAGCCCCGTGAGGGAGGCACAGGCCAGACAGCGACCGTGAGGACACACGACTGCCTGCAGGCCGCTCCTCAGCACCTGCTGCAGGGAGACTGCCCCGCTGTGCTGCTTGTTAGTGAGTCTCAGGGCAAGAGGATAGGACTTCCCCCTGGGATTTGGTCATAACAAAGTACTCCTGCCCAGATGTTCCTGGAACGTGGAAGGGCCTGTCAGGAAGGTGATTCTGCCCGTCAGTCGCAGTCTCATCGAAAGCTGCAAGGACCTTTCTCATACTGGGCAGCACTGCTCTCTTACACCAAGTTATAACGCGGTGGCAACACTGCAGGGTAAGCATGGTGAGTGTGAATGGTAAGCCACAGGAGCAGCAGTTCCAATCCGCCCACCGCTCTGCAGAAGAAAGAGGAGGCTCTGTGTTCCCATAAAGACCGACGCAGCCTCAGCAGCCTCGTGGAGGGTCTGGGAGTTGGAACGGGCCGGATGGCAAGGGGCGTGGCTCTCAGTTTGGCTGCATGGGCACAAGGCCCATGTGAGGCACGGCATCGATTGAGGCCATGTGGTAGGGTTCTGTATTGGGAGCGGTGCAGCCAGGGTGCTCCGTGGGAGTTAGCAAGGGCAGACTGCATCCCACGTGCTTTGCACGTGTTGTCAGCAGAGAGGAGCCCCTGGAGAGGCTCACCGTGCCCGTCAAGTGCAGGGCCAGTGAGGAAGAGCAAGGCCCCTGAGGAGATGGATGGACGCAGGGGCTGCAGCAATGGGCACAAACCTAAGAACACGTCTGTGCGCAGTGCGAGGCCAGGTGGGGTTTCCATCAGGCCCTCAGAGTCAGCACAGCCTTGATGGCACCTACCACCAACACCGCCAACAACCCCACCACCACCAACACCATCAACAACAACAACAACAACACCAACACCACCACCAACACCACCAACACCATCATCACCATTAACAACACAAACACCATCAGCCCCAACACCATCAACAACACAAACACCACCAACACCAACACCATCAACAACAACACCAACACCATCACCACCAACACCAACACCAACAACAACCCCACCAACACCAACCCCACCACCACCAACACCATCAACAACAACACCAACACCATCAACAACACCAACACCACCACCAACACCACCAACACCATCATCACCATCAACAACACAAACACCATCAGCCCCAACACCATCAACAACACAAACACCACCAACACCATCACCA